TTTTTGTAGTTGCTATGGTTGCCGCAGAAACAAGGACATTATTTAGCTCATTAATGTAGTCATCAATATCGTTTCCACAATTCAATACGGGGTTGATTAGCCATTTGGTTTCTCTGTTTGTTAGTCTTGATTCTTGTGCCACTATCTTCGGGCGCTCGTAAATTTTTATTAGAACTGGTGAGTGGTCTGAAGACAACTCAGCAACTGTCACAGCTGATACAAGTTGCCTGTCGATTTTTCTTGAGACAGCAAAGTCTATTAATTCAGGTCTTTTCTTCCGATCGGTAGGCCAGTATGTTGGTCGACCTGGGGAAACACAATCCAAATTGTTACATTGGTTTATAATGGTATTGTATAGCTGACGGCCTTTGGGGTTTATTAGACTGGATCCCCAGTATACATGCTTTGCATTGTAATCTCTTCCTGGTATAAATCTATCACCATGATTATTAAAAAATTCCCGTAATTGATTTTCTGTGATCTTAAATTTTGGAGGGCAATAAATGTCTGAGAGATTTAGCTCTTTGCCATAATTATTCAAGGTTACAGAGGTAGCTTGTAGATAATTGATGGCGTAGGGCTGTAAGACGCAGTGTTTAAGGCGGTTTCTTAGAAGTACTCCAGTATCGCCGTGCGCTTTGCCATTAGGATGGTTAGTGGGGTAGAATATGACATGAACCCAGGTATATAAAAGTTATATTTATCCGTCAAGAGCGTTTCAGACAATAGCATTACGTCTATAGCATACTCTGTTAAAAATCGTGCCAATTCTAATTTATGTTGGTTCACACCGTTTGCATTCCATAAACAAATGTTTAGCAGGCTCATTTTTTTTTTGCATGAAGATTTGTAGTATGTTATTCTGGGCTTTAATCAAGTCTTGGATCATGCTTTGCATAGTTGATATGAACTGTGTCATGCACTGCGTAAGGTTTAAAATCTGAATATTATCTGAATTATTCTTCAGCACACGCGCATAAGATAATTTATTTGGATTCATATTTTGCATGTTTGGACCAGTTTTATAGCAAATATTTGAAATTGTATATGGAATGGGTTTCGTTTTTCTTTATCTGACTTGAATTGGGCGCTAGTTCTACCAACCATTTTCTTCAGAGGCTCTTTTATTTCGTCTGGTTTGACTGAGGATTCGATACCTTAAATTACAACTGCTCTTCAGTTGATACGAGTAATAACTGTCATGACTCGACGATAGAAAACTTACTATAGCATGAAGCTTTTTTCACTGTAAGTTTGAGTTTTTGTTTCATCGATGGTACCTTTTTTTAAATGCACAATGTGAAAGTAATTAGCGCCGACTATTTTGGTAATATTTTTAACTAACGTGCTTGAGACACGTAAAGAGTAAAAGTAAATTGGCGGTGGTTTGGCATTTGCAACTGTGTTAGTACCCTTTACGCTGTCCTCACTTAATAAAGCAAATCGGTTGCTACTGGAGGGTTCTTGGATTTTTACGTTAGTTCCACTGATTTGCACTTTTTTGTTGTTGGTGTTATTAATAGGACTTGATTTCCTCTTGATATTTATATATCGATCTAGTCCTGTCTGTATTATTGAGTTCTTTTTTATCTCATTGGGCTTACCGCTTTCCTGTTCCTTTTCATTTGTATTGATGGGCGATTTCCTGCTGTATGTTTGCTTGCCGTTACCTTTTTTCTCTTGTTTTTCTGCCGACTTCGCCGTCTGTTTAGCGCAAGCAGAGTACCGCTAAGAGTCTTCTGCTTCCATGCTGTTTTCTTTTGCCGTTGGTTGTGTTGGCGTTGTTTGCTCAATATAATAAAAATAGGCATTTGAGAGTCTTCGGTCCGGCAGGTTTAGCCGCGTCGCATTAATTTTTGTTTTTGTACTCACTGGATAACTTTTTGTTTATTATTCTGTTTATACATATTGTTTTTAATATTGTGTTGTATTATTAAATTTGAAGTTTATGAGTGATTTCCCTTTGTTTTTAAGTGTTCTTCAGATTACACTAAAGGCACTCGCTTAGTTTTTTTGAATTTTCACTGTATGTTTTATTTTATTTAATTTTATTTTTATGAGCAGTGCTTAATAGCTTGTGTGCTCTTACAGCTCTTTCACAAAATAATGTTCTTAGTACCTTTAGATTTTTGACAGTTAATGCGAGATGATGCCTAACTATTAATTTCTTTACACATATTAGGCCAAAAATATTTAGATTGAAGATATCGAGTTGTTCGAACACGTGGATGTGATAAAAAAAATTGCCTTTTTTTTTAAATAATTTTTCAACATATGGTCTAAAAGGTGTTTGTGTAACATCACACCAAATATTGAGATTTGGAATAGGTACATTAATTTCTTTTAAGTTACTATTGGCATTTGGATCTAAAACAATATTTTTATGTATTTCAGCTCTTTGTTGTTCTTCGTAAAAAAAAATAATGTCTTTTGTTGAAATAGAATTAATTTCAGTGATACGAGAAAGTGTATCAGCTATTTTGTTCTCTTTACCACAAATGTATCTAATATCATTAGTAAATTGAGCAATATATTCTAAATGTCTATTTTGACGAGGAGATCTATTTGTTTTAGAATTTAGAACATGTGTAAGTGGTTTTTGTCAAAATGTGTTAATAAAGTTTTTTATCACTTTCAAAAGCTTGTGTGGTTTCATCTGTCCAATTTTATTCTTTAAATTTATTTTTTATTGTAAATGTTAACATTTAATGTGGAGGACTTAACTCTGCTGCTAACATTTTAATATATCTATGATAATAATTTAACATACCTAAAAATTTTTGTAAACTGGGGTTTTTCAAATTTGAAAATTCTTTCGATATATTCTAAAGAACGTCTGATACCTTCACTTAAAATTTCATAGCTAAGAAAATGGAATTTATTTGTTCCAAAAACACATTTAGCAGATTTAATATTTAACTTGAAACTTTCAAATCTTTTAAATACTGATTTTAAATGGTCAATATGTTGATCTTCATTTTTACGATTGATGTAAGCAAATACGAAATCTAATTCAGAATATACTTCATTGATAAATCGTTGAAAAGTTTGAGCACTGTTTCTAAGTCCGAAAGGCATACGTACAAATTCAAGCATTCCGAAAGGGGTGGTTATTGCTGTTTTGTGCATATCTTCCTCAGCCATTGGTATTTAATGATATGCACGAACAAGATCTATTTTTGAAAATATTGTTTTATCTTTTAAATCAATGTTTAAATCATGAACGTGAGGTAACGGATATCGATCTGGAATAGTTATAAAATTTAATCTTCTATAATCACCACATGGTCTCCAATCATTTAGTTCCTTTTTGGGAAATAAATGAAGAGGAGATGCAGTATGTGAATTTGATGGTCGACAAATACCAGTTTTAACTAAAAATTCGAATTCAGTTTTTGCTATCTCTAATTTAATAGGATCAAGACAACGAGGTTTAGAAAAAGGAAGAATGCGTTTGGTTTTAAATCTGTGAACCGTATGGTGTTG